TCCTGAAATCATTATTCTGGTTAGAAGGGATCTCAGAAGGCTTGCAGTCCAACCTCTTTGAGCAGGGTCATCAAGGAGATAGCATCAGATTACTCAGGGCTTTATTCAGTTGGGGCTTGCAAAGCTGCAAGGACAGAGAGTGCATAACCCTGTTTGGACAGCTTGTTTCAACATCTGGCTGTCCTTTTGGAGAAAAGCTGATCCTCTCCTGATTCACTTTTTGTCCACTGGCTCTTGTCCTCCAAGCAAAGCCCACCAGAAGGAGCCTGGCCTGCAAGATCACCTTGTAGGGATTGGAAGGCTGCTTTTAGATCCCTCCAAACCTATCCCTTCTGTAGACTGAATTGTTTCCCTAAAACACAAAACAAACTAATGTCTCAGCCAGTGCTGTCCAGAACTATCCTCAGAGGCAATCAAGGAACTAGTGTGGATTTCTTTTTGGAAGCACTGGTAGTGTCTTCTTCGTACTCTTTTTCTTTTTAAATCCATAATCCCTCGAGGCAGAAGCCAGGGGATACTGCTCATGTCTCTCACAGCCTCCCATTACTTTTACTGCATGTCCACTGTCACACCAAGAAAATGAAAGGAAAATGAGGTTGAGAATAAATGAGTGGGAAGAAGATATGCAGTGCCTTATCTGACATTTGGCCATCAGCTGTGATGATTCGTTATAAATACACTTAAGTGATAAATTATTGTGGCTTTTTGTAGAATTTGTCAAAAATACAGGAAGAAAATGTAGAATTCCTTTCCATTCAACAGAATGTACTGTAAGAAAATGGTTATTTTGGTATTGTTCATGGAATTCAGTTTTAGCATACTGGTCTTGAAAATTATAATTTAAGAGTTATGTTTTGTTTCATACTCTTCTTGTTCTTTACACTGTTTGCTTTTTTCTTTTTCCATGATCTCCAACTTTTTTTCATTTGCTGTTCCTGATAGATTGGTAGGAGAAAAACAATGAGTTTTTAAAAAATCATGGGAAATAAATGCCCTACTTCTCCTCTTCTGGTCTCCTTTTTTTAACAGAAGAAAATTTCAGGGAAAAAAAATCAGTGTTCCATTGTTTCATATAATCAGGTTCAACTTTAAAATCCTGTCAAAACATTATAATTTAACATTAGCATGTAACTTGATTTATATAGCAAGTAAGACAATTGTGCCTGCTCTGAAGAGCTTGCAACCTGTCAGGAGACAAGACAAGACACTGGGGGGATTACACCATGAAGGAAAATAAATGAGATGAGTGACAGAAAAAGGAATACAAAAAACATCTTAAGAGTTTTGGTGAATAGTGCAACAGACATAATGCTAACTCTTATGCTTTATTTTCACTTTTTAAAAAACGTCTTTGATAAAATTTCGCAAAACATATAAATGGTTTAAGAGCCATTGTTATATTTCTACAAGTGCAGAATCATTTCATACTCATGAGTTTGTAGCCAGTCAGTTGAAAACCAAGTTCTAAACACAGGGCTGTTATTTTGTGTGTTAGGACAGGATGTCCACTTGGCTCTGTACCACAAATTAACTTTTTCAGGAAAGTGTTTTCAGTGGAGGATCATAGGAGAGTTCATAGAAAGAGGGGTTTGAAAATGAATGTACTTCATGAAAAATCCTCTTGTAAGCAGGATCTTGGAAGATTATTTTGGGCAAGGATGAAGGTGTGATTTGAAATTGAAAGAAGTTGCAGTGCATAAATTATCAGGAAAGAGGTTCTGGGTATGTTTGTGGAAGATGGACCAGAAGAAGGATAGAGAAATAAAGTATTGGCACAGAGTTGAGCATTCAGCCTTGTGTTCTGCCCTGATCCACTGGCATTGCCCACAGTGGGCACCAACATCTCTAGTATTCCCCCTCAGCTCCCCCAGGCTGACATTTCCCCTTCCCTTCTTCAGCTGCTGCATCACCAGTGCATAAATCCTGTGTTCTCTTTGTGTAGCCAGTCTTGAATAGCTCTTCAAAGTGATGTCACAAACTAGCTGGGAAATAATTTTATATTAGGCAATAATACATCAGCTAATGAAATAATTTTTACCTTGTTGTCACCATAAAAATCTCAGTCTTTGATCTGCTCCAGATTTTACCATATGGCCTACTAAAGAAAAACAACAACAATAAAACTCTCTGATACTTTGTTTGTATGAAAAGTCCCCATATGACAAGAGAGGTAGCTTGGAACATGAAAGGACTACACAAAATGTTTCTTTTGGTAGCTAAAAGATGCTCCTGCCTGCATGCATTTGATTAATAATTTTGTAAATGGAAATGTAATATGGTTGTTTGAGATTTTATTGGTGTTTTCAGTGGTACAGACTTGTGAATGGCTTGGGAAATACCTGTTTCTAAGAACTGTATGTCTTGTCTCACATTCCTGAAATGTTCCTAGAGCTTGGGAAAAAAATGTATCTACTTCTTACATCTAAAAATAAGATATTTACTGAAGATGTAATTAAATAGTGAAGACATGCATTTCCCAGATTTCAGAATTAGCTAAAACAGCTTAGTCAATAAATTCACTCTGATATGGGAATAAATTTAAGGATTGTAGAAAGATATAACATGTTCTAGGGTAATCACAAAAAATGTGTATTCATTAGATAAGACCTGAGATCTTTGTTAATATTTTGAAGGCTGGCAGTTGCTCCTGCACTGTGTGATGTCAATATGTGAGTGCTTGGCATCTTCATGGATGGAGTCCCAAAACCTTCCCTGGGTCTGAAGTGTCTGAAGAGTTGTCTGTGGGTTTTAGTCTTGGCTGTTCCACTGGGTTATTGGTGGGAATAGTGGGATTTATGAATTAGCATGATGGACGGAGGCTTATACATGTGTGTGGAGAGAAATTTGGGAGAGTGCAGGGAAGCTGATCGTTTCATATATGTGTTTTAATACCAATCATTCAAAACTAGAAATTTAATGAACTGTAAGAATCAGCATCCTAGTGAGAAACTTTTCTCTCTTTTTTTTTCAGTTGAAAAATTAAAAATTTTATCTTCTTTCATGGCCATTTTTTGATCAGAATGTCTTCTTTAAGAGAGACTTTTGGAATGATGCTGTGGAAGCAGCTAAACACCATTGTCTCTGACTCTCTGAGCACTGTTTCCTTTTTCTCTGTGTCTTCACATGTTTAAGGCCCACTGCTTAGGTCACAAAATAGCTCTCCAGAAAAAGCCAGAAATGTTTTTGATTCAGTCCATGGTAGGAAAAGGAAGGTGGGTGCCTCAGAAAGCAAAATAAAATTGGAAAATGTAAAACAATGGCGTTCTCTGGGGAAGAAAAAGAAAGCCAAGCATGTCAGGAAATCTGTTGCCCATTGACAAATAAATAAATAGAAGTGTTGTGACCTGAAGCTGGTGCAAAGACACTTGGGAATGGGGATGCCTGGGTGGACATTTTGGTTTGAATTGCTTGGCTGGTCAGCCTTGAAAAACTGTGAGGCTTCAGTCGACAAAGCATTACTTATGATGTTCTTAGATATAAACATGCACAATTATTTAAGTTAAATATCTGTTAAGATGCTTTGCCAGCCCAGTTTCTGCTAATCCTCCATTACTAGAAGTTTTGGTATTTAATTCTTAAGAGGAGGAGATCAAAATCCTTGAATGAAAAGGTCTAAAGAAGGTTACATTGTCAAAGGGGAAAATAAACATTACCAACTTACCTGAATGTGTGTACACCAACACAGCCTATTTCTAACATTTTTTAAAAATTAGATTGATTTCTTTTCCTTTGTTTTCCATTCCTGTACCTCTAAGGCTTGATAACATTTGAAACTTCAAATTAATAATATTTATTAATGATTGTACAGAACACCCTGCATTATCTCCTTAATTGTCTTTTATTTTTTTGCCCAGTTCATTCAAAAAAGCACAATAATGGGAAAACTTTTAATCTACCTTTTTAATGAAATGCACAGTAACATTTAGGTAGATTTTCCTGATAAAGTGTTGTGCTTTTTCCATAGTCTTATTTCCAGTGGCTGTTTTTGTGCTACAGAAATCAGTCATGCCACCGGAACATAGGGATATACAGAAAATGCTCTAGTGAGCCTTAGTTTGGTGGAAAGTGTTAAAACATTTTATCACTTGAAGAAGCAATATAATATGTGTAACATTTCTTACTATTTTTGCTAGTTTTCGTAATAGTTTTGTGGATGGGGTAGTATGAAGTTTATTTTAACAAGTCAGATATATTAGAAGTGACCAAAAGTCAGCTCTCCATACCATTAAAACGTGCTGGTCTCCATCTCAATTTTTGCCATTTCAGGTAATTTTCCTTCATAAATGCCTGCAATTTTTCTTAAAACCTTTACTGGCTCCCTTTATCTCATTAAGCACAATGCAGTTCTTACTAAAACTGAAGTAGTTTTCCTTCAGAAGCAAAATTGAATCTCAAGTCGTGGAGTTGGTGCAGGGATTTCAAAGGCTTGTATCTGATTTCCTTAACTTCACGTGCTTTTTCCTGTTGTAGGATCTAACCCTGCCACTAAAGTGAGATTTTTTTTTTTTTTCTCGCCTGGAAGGAAACAGTAGTCAGTTGAGTACCATTTCTGCTCTGCGTGAGGCTCAGTTTACTAACACTGAGAGGAGTTTAGTTAACTTCATATTTTGGACAAGCTTGTAAATTTGTTCCCTTCTAACGCTGTGATCTTATCAAGGTTGTACTGTTTTCCTTTTCTTCTCTTCCACCCCCATCTTCTTTCTTTCCTTTTTTTGAAGTGCAGCCTTCTGATCAATGTGCACTTTTTTTTTTCCATTTCCCTAAATACATCATGAAAAAGGATGAGGTTTCCGCCTTAATTGCTTGTGCCTTTTATTCACATTCCTCTCTCAGCCAGAATTGTGAAAAGAGTGTTAGTAAAAGGCTGCACAATAGAGCTTTTCATTAGGCCTCAACAAGGCACACAAAAGAAGGCTTTTGGAAAGAGTGAATGCAGGACTTTAATTTGCAGGTGGAGAGTAGATAAAAGGTGCTGACGCCTCTATTATTCTCTTACTTAGGTGACCCCTACCCCGTTCAGCTGATCCCAACTACCATGGCAGCTGCTGCCGCAGCAACACCGGGCTTAGGCCCACTCCAACTGCAGGTAAGTCCCAGCACAATGTAGAGGAGCCAAAGGTTAAGTAAATATGAAAACCAGTTTTCTCTTCCTTTGGAACACAACGCAATTAACAGGGGTTTTTGGGCTGTTCTTTTCACATAAAATTTGCATCTGAAGCAAGAGAGTCATCAAATGATAACACATTTTCCTTTTACCTTGCTGGAAGTTTTTGTTACATTTTTGTGTCTCTGTTGTCAATTTAACTACTTTTAGGTTTGTACTTTGAATTTCCTCATAGCAGTACGTTTGCTTTTCTTATTGACATGGTTTAACCCCAGACAACAACTCAGTACTGCACAGCCATTTATTAACTTCCCAAAAGTGGGGTGGGTAAGAGAATTGGGAAATACATGGTAAAACCTATGGGTTGAGATAAGAACAATTTCATAATTGATATAAAGTAAAATACAATAATAGTAATAGTGACAATTATAATGAAAAAGAGAGAAGAATAAAACCCAAGAAAACAATTGGTCTCCAGCTGTTAATCAGTGCCCAGCCTGTCCCCAAGCAGTGGTTGACCCCTCCTGAGCAAGTGTCCCCAGTTCATAAACTGAACATGATGTTCTCTGGTGTGGAATATTCCTTTGGCCAGTTCAGGTCATCTGTCCCAGCCTTGCTGCCTCCCAGTGTTTTTGTGCAGCTTCTCACAGACAGAGCATGGGAAACTTGAGAAATCCTCGACTTAGGGTAAGGACTACTTAGCAACAGCCAAAACATCAGTGTGTTATCAAACGTTATTCTCATCCTAAATCCAAAACACAGCACTGTACCAGCTACTAAGAAGAAAGCCAGTGCTATCCCTGCTGAAACCAGGACACTTTTCCATTAGATCGTTCTCATGCAGGCTGTAAAATACCAAAAGGAAATGGATTGTCAGGCAGAAAAGCTCTGTCCTGACAAGCACTTTTAAACTGCTTAGAAGTCGTTAACATGATTATGTCCTTTTAGGCCATAAGCTCTTCAGAGCAATAACTGGCCCCTCCTACTGTGTTTTATGGTACCCAGAGCATTTTAGGCACTGCTGTATTGCAGATAATTAGCAATTATTCTAATTTAACATAGACAATTAGAAAACAGGTGGAAAGATAGAAAAGGGTTTGAGTTTTCTTCAGCTACATTAAAGAGTTGACCTGGTAGCCAGACGTATCTGATTCAGACTGTCAGTATTCTGAATTTTGGAGGCATTAGGGTGTCCGTGGGTCTTAATGATAGCAAGTCTTTGGATATTCCTGATCAGCCCTTTACACAGCCCTTGTTAAGTCATTGGAATTAAGCAAATGTGATGTCCATTGCCACTGTGTGAATTTTGCTACCTGTCATGTATGCTTGGCTGGTAGGATGACGCCAAGTAATATTTGGGACTGAGAGGAAGTCAAGGTCCAAAGCATCTCTAATTCTGCAAAGTGTGGATTGCCTACTCCAGAAAATTTTCTAGATTGCCTAGGAAGGAGTCTACTCTTTTCTGGAAACATAAAAAGCCCCAGGCTCTCCATTTCAAATGCATCTCCCTGCTCATTATTATTTGCCAAGTCACATGGAACAGCAGAGCTTTATACCTGCTTGGAAAGGCTCAGCATTTATAACTGGGATGTGTGAAATGCACTCGCCAGCTCAGTTTGGCCCACATCAGTATGAAGTAGACATCAGATATTTCAGTTGTTTGGCCAGCATACTAGAGCGTGGGACATAGTTCTGGGGAAGATTTTTTTTTTTAAATTTTATTTTAACACAGCCAGCGGAAGTTAGCTGAGTTTCACAGAAATAGCTGCCAGTGTGTAAGCTGACACATTCCATGCACCACAGAGGTTAATACATTCATTCCTATTGTGCCTTTGTATGAAAAGCAACATTGTCTGTGTGTTAGTTTCTGATTCTCTGAGTTACAAATACTGTAGGCGGCTTAAGAATCATGGGAGCCATATAAGTCATCCCTCTGAAATGAATTTTGAGGCGTAGCGTCAGTATTGATAAAGTGCATATAATAGCCAAACACACAAGAACAGACATATGGAAGAAAGAGGGAGGGGAAAAGGAAAAACAAGCATGGAGCTAGCTAGCAATGCAAAAACAGCAGCCTGATTCTTTTTTTTTTTTCTTATTTTTTTAATTCTTATTTTTGCAGTCATTCAAACTAGTCCTAAAATAATGCATCAGTGCTCTGGTAGGATGGTTTCCTTTCATTCCAGGACCAGCTTTGGACTGTCTCTATGCATGCTGTGAGCTGAAGTACCCTGATTAAAATAGGCTTTATCACAATAACAGTTTTCTTGTTAAAATGTGAGCTTTGTGCAAAAATGACTGCAGTCAGAAGTATCTTAGGATGAGTTTACATTGTGGAAAAGTTGAGAACCTCAAAGACCTCTTGTTTCTGTACAGAGAACATGAAAATGAAAATATTGACCAAATTCACCTATGTTGTTTTGCTACATGTCTGGAATTAGAGGGAGAGTTTGGCAGCCTGTCAGTGGGAGAGGCTCAAATTGCTAACTTAGTAGACTCTCTTAAATTTTTCAGATCTGATATCTAAGGGCATGTATATGCTAGAAATAAACTGAAGCTGATTTTTCTTCACATCTTAACAGTGGTTTTTAGCTATCATTGCAATCTATATGATAGAAATTGGACATGCCTTTTAACTTCTGGTGCTATTTGAAAGAGGCAGGCTAGATTTGCTTCTGGAAAGGTTTTATTGTACAGGACTCAAAATGGATGCTCACCTATGCTAACATGAATGGAGCTCAACTTAGTTGCTAGACTAGAAAGACTGTGCCTTCCAAACTCTGTTCAAATCCATTTTAGCTCAGTGATGACTTTGTGGAGTCATAAAGAAAGATTCATGATGTTTTTGTTCCAAACCCACCTTTAAATAGCATTGCAGTCTCTTTCAAGGAGGAACTCTTCTTACTTCAGACATTCCCCTACATGACTTATAATTCTGATGTCCCCTACACACCCTCTGTCATCTGGTCATCAGACAGTAAGAGGTCAGAAAAGTGGAATATTCCTTCTTTTCTTCTTTCTCTATCCTCCCTATCACTCATCTTTCAGACTTTGTGTACTTAAAGCAGGGGAGATCAAAGGACCTGACACAATGCTCAGTTTGTTGCTCCCAGTAAAATTTGATACACAACATTATCTCAGTGAAGACAAAGCCAAGGAATTTTTCTTGTTTGTTTATGTAACAATAAACACGTCTTTGTTATTTCACTAGAGAATTTTAAGTCAGGTCATGGCTTTAGTACTGTACTGTGAGATCAACAGGAAGTACTTTTTTTTATCCCTGGTTGTCAAAATTGAGTTTTTGTTTTTGTAAATGAAATGCACACTGTATTTATAGAAGAAGAATTAGCACCTGATTGTTTTTCTGTGGCAAAGAAGCTCTTTGTCAGTGAAAATGTAATCTCTCATTTTGAAATGCCCTGTTGATTCGCAGTGACAGCTTTGTAATCTGAAGCCCCCCGTTTCTCTCCCCACCTTTGAGCCCCACTCACCCACTGGGGTGTACAGATTCTGTCATCTGATATTTGCCACAATTAGCCGTGTGGGATTGCCTCGATTTCCAGCACCCAGAGAGGGACTCAATGACTCAAGGAGAATGGAAGCTAAAACTTACATTGTTAGATGATGTAAAGGAAGTAGATGGATGGGGCCGTGCTGGAAAAGCTGCAACTAACACAGTGCAAGCTTGAACCTGTCCTCTGATGAAATGCTGTCTGTCAGCCCCGTGCATTCACTCATTCCCACTTTTAATGACAAAAAATGCCATTTGGGGAAAAAACCGTGGTTTTAGCTTTCCTCTGTTACTGAGAAAATTCAGTCCTGAACATTGCTGCGGTGAAATCCCTCTGGGTAAGCACATGGGTTTCTTACATCAATTTTTTCCCATTATAAACATCATCTGGTCTTGTTCTTCAAAAGTGGTGCAGGATGGCGATTATGTTTCAAATAAATGAGAAAAATCTGAACATAAATTGTCACTGTGTTTTACTGAATAAGGCTAATGACTCAAAAGTACTGCTGTATGCCTTGTATGAACATGATGTTTTCCTATATGATTCAGCAGACGAGGGAATTAAGTTCCTCCATCTTGAAGATCAACATTCAAAGCTGTAAACATAGATGTGGTGTAACAAGTTTTGCATAAAACTAAGCTGGAAGAGTTTATTCTGGTACCAGTCATCTTGGGCATAGCTAAGTATAGAATAGATGTTTTCATAAGTCTGAGCAAATTCTTTATAAAATTGTATCTGAAATTTTCTTTTCTGATAAAAAGTATTTTGTGAGTAGTTTCTGAGCATTAGGAAACAAAGGAACTAATCATACAACATGAAAACTGAGAGAAATCCACACCATTGGGAGTGGGAATGGTTCAGATTTCCCAGATTGCTTGTTTGATAACCAGATAGTGACAACAACTGATTAATTGGCAGTAACACAAATGCTGTATATACCCATAACTCTATTGAAAGATAATGCTGGATGAATAATGACAGCTGCCTGTGTAGTCTTACTGTATGGACATTTTGTGTCCTGTCAAAACAGTATAGCAGTCTGATGTAATACAGACTTCCTGCAAACATCTGCTCTTGGAAAAAAACACCCCAAAAAGTTTGGAGTGCCAGCATTCAAACTTTCTTCCCTCTTCATCTTAGCATGAAACAGGACTTCATAATTATTTGTGGTTGTGTTCAACATGATGTCCAAATCTGTCACTGTATGAATCAAGAGAACCTCCTGTCAGTGTCTAAGTGTGAAAGCATTTTAGCTGGGTCTCAGTTCTGAACACCAGTCATTAGGAGAGTCCTGTATTCTCTTACTATTTGTATAAAGTTGATGAGCATATTTAGACCTTAAATAGTCTGGCTAAGTTTTTAGTCTCTACTTCCTGTATTAAGTACTTGGGTCAATTACTTTTTTCTTACTACAGACTTATTCTCTTAGTTGTGTGGTAAGATGCATACCAAGGACTGAATTGAAATGGA